GGCAGACCCACTGCAGGTGCAGGGTCTGAGGCACAGGTCGGCTAGCCTGGGGAAGCCCCGTGGAGCTCACTGGTGGAGCTGGGGCAGGACAGCGCCCCTCTGCCTTCCTCTTTCCTGGCTCTCACGTGCGTGTATCTCCCGGGCCCTCTGCCCTCCTGCACCCAGGTCCTCAGGCAGGGCCTGTGTCTGCCTCCCTGTGGAGAGGGGCCCCAGCACTTGGTTTCCGGAAGAACTCAGTGTTTTCCAGTCCTTGCATCCCCAGAGTGCACAGGGGGCCTCACCGCGGTGAGCCAGGGTGAGGGCTGGAAGTGCGGGCGCTGGAGAAGCAGGGGGCTCTCACGCTCGGAAGGCTGCTGCCCAGGGCCTCTGTCCACCACCCTACAAGCCTTTCAGAGCTGGGCTCACACAGACCAGGGACACCCACCAGCGGCCGGCGGCTGCCCCCTCCCCACTCTGCTCTCCTACAGGCCCTGCTATGCGGCCTGCGCTGTGGGCGCTCCCCTCCCGGCCACATCCTGCCCTGCCCTGCCCTGCCCTGCCCTGCCCTGCCCTGCAGTCTGGGGACACAGCTCTCCCTCACCCCGGCATTCCCACTGCCTTCCTCTCCGGGCCCGCAGCTGCCCCAGTGCCTGGCAGCGGGGTTGAGTCACCTCCAGCTTGCCTTCTCCTCGGAGCCAGGGCAATTTGGCAAACTGCTCAGCTCCCTGGTCCTGGGGCTCCGCTCCCCGGGTAAGGCACAGCCTTCAGGCACATGGACTGGCCTTTGTGGGGGATACTAGAGAACACATGGCAGATTTTCTCCCTTCCTCAATCTAGGGGTGAAGTCTCTGCTCTAGAGACCTGGTCTAGGCCAGGAATCCTGGACCAGAAACCACCAGGCTGGTACTAGCTCCCGGAACCACCCAAGCACAAGACCTTGCTATTCTGCGTTCTCTGGAGCTCTCTAGTCCCCTGAGCCTGGGTCTTTGTAGGCCAGAGTCAGACCAGGGCGTGCCTGGAACCTGACCACTCAGGAGGCTAAGGGAGGGGGATCGTGAGTTCGAGCCCCGCCTGAACAGTGAAACTTCGTCTCAAAAAAGAAAAAAAAAAGAGAGTGAGATAAGCCCCAGCCCGTCTCAGGCAGCAGGCGCGGGGCCTGGCCACCCCACGATTGTGGGCCTTTTCTGGCCACCAGTGACTAAGGTCCAGCAGGACCTACCCTGCTGCTCCAGCCTGGCCAGAGTTCAGGAGGTCACAGTGGAAGAAGGGCTCCTCTGGGCAAAGCAATCTCACAGAGGCTGCGGAGGAGCACAGACCCTAAATGCGGGCTGACGCCCCTCTCCCAGCCTCATGATGTTCCAGGAGCTCCGTGTGAGCTCCAGCCTCCCGCGAGGATCAGAAGAGGCCCACCACTCTCCAGGACAGAGAACCGGGCCCAGCAGGGTGGGAGGGAATGTGTGCGGGCCCCAGGGGTCCCACGGGCCCAGGAAGTCCGCTGGAGGCCGAAGCCCCGTGCCTGCCTCCAGCCCTGGGCTGTTGCCTCCTGCGCCCCGCAGCACTGGGCTTTGGCAAGGCGGAGCCCCTGGGCAGTCGGGAAGGAAGACCCCCCACCTCCTTACCAGCCCAGGCAGAGGAGCTGCCAGGAAGGGTGCGCCAGCTGTGGTCACCAGTAGGGGCGGTGGGCTTGGAGGGCACCTCTCCTCCTGGTGCTAAGAGGGAGGGAATGCTGAAATGGGACTCCCAAAGCGGAGATGAGGAAGGGCCACTTCCGTCACCTTGGGGGTTGGGTGAGTGGTGGGGAGAAGAGGAATGACCCTGGAGAGGGTCTGCACCGGCCCACTCACCCCTGCAGCCTGAGCCTCGCTCCTCCCCCACTGACCAGAGGGAAGCAAGGTCCCTGCAGTCACTGTCGCATGGCCGGAGTCCCCAGCTCGGCGCCCTGCGCCCTGGGACCCCTGCCTTCTCCTTGGGCTTCCCCGTCCTGCCTTCCTCTAAGTGGCTGCTCCCCGGTTCAGGCAACTGAAAGAGCACAGGACTCAGGTGCTTCTGCAAACACATTTAATGTACTTAGGTTACACCACAGGAGAGGGGCAGCGGAATGACATCTAAGTGAGTCACTCGAAAATCCTTACGAAAGTCCCAGGCTGGCTGAAGCCCCAGGAACTGAGTCGCCACTGACATTAAAAACTAATAGAAAATTTTACAAAAGTCTGCTCACTGCAGCATTCAGATACTGGTACAAAAGGAGGGGTCTTCCTACGGAGGTCCTGACTTGTAACAGGGAGCCGGGCCCCTGACCTGCTGCGGACGTCCTGGAAGCCAGAAAGGGAAGACCAGATTAAAAGGAGAGTGCTGGGAACTCTCTGCCCCACAGGGGCCCTGACCTGCAGGCTTCCTGCATCCTCAATTGCAAAACCCTGTGCCAAACCCTCAGGTCTGGCTTGCAGGATGCTCCAGCTCCTGCTCCTGCTCCTGCTCTGCCCCTTGCGTTGGAGGGGAACAGGGGCAGAGAACCAGCAGACCCACACCTTGCGGGAGCCTCCCAGCCCTCTGGAGCACCGGCTGGGGTCACCATCCTCTCAGAGCCCACGTTGGACCTGGGCACCCCAGAAGTCTGCTTTGGATTGTGGGCATGCAGCTGGCGGGGAGCCCCTTCTCAGAAGCCTTAGCATCCGGGGCCTGGTGGGATGGGCAGGGACTGGACAAGCCTGGAGAAAGCCTGTAGAAGAGGCAGCCAGGGAGGCTCCTGACCTCCTCATCCACAGGAGCTTGCGGGTCCCACAGAGCCGCCAGGAGCCGTGCTGGGGATGTTCCGAGGTCCAGCAGGGCCCTTCTCACAAACCTGCAGCTCAGTGGAGCACCCTCCCTGAGAAAGCTCTGGACAGAACCCAAGCCCAAGGGAGAAGAGGCTCAGAGGTGGCTGAGGGCCTCTGTCCTCACTGAGCTGGTGCGCTGGAGGGGAACGACGGGCACCGGTCTCTGCAGGACCCTGGATGTGCATGAGGCTGCCAGTGTGGCGGTGGGCAGGAAGGACTCCCAGACTTCCTGGGCTCCTCCTCTGAGCTTACCTGCTTCCTTCTGCCATCCCCTGCCCTCTGGCCAGGGCCACCATGCTAGTGGTGCCAACCCTCCAGGCCCGGAGCAAATTGTTTCCTGGAGGCCTCACAGACTGATGACAGCTTACCCTCCCCGAGCCAGGCAGATGCAGGCAGGGAAACCTGCAGCAGGGACCCTCAGGCAGGGCTCCAGGAAGGGAGAATCCACGGAGAAGCTGGTCGGGATGGCGAGGAATGGAGGCCCAAGAAATGTCAGGAGAGGATCAGGCAAAGGCAGGGCTGCCGTGCGGGCAAAGGCCAGTAAGCAACCTTCTGGAAAAGTCCTCATACCAGGTCCAGAGAGGACTGGACCTCAGCTGGCAGGACTTGGAGCAGCACCCCTCATATGTCACCGGTTGATCTGCCCTGAAACACTGAGTATGACAGTTCACAGGCAGCCCTGGGGTGTGCAGGAGGGGCAGGCCTACTGGGCCTTGGGGCCTGATCCTGCTCTCTGGAGCCTGGTCAGGGCCCTCATGGGCCTTTAGCTGGATCTGTCTTTGGAGAGTGCACCTATGGGCACCCTGGTGGTGTCTGAGTACGGTGGAGACAGGCCAGGGCAGGAGGAACCCGCTGCGTCCCTGACAAAGTAACTTTGCTTGGGAGAGGCCTGAGGGTCATCTTGAAGTAGTAGCAGTCCCTTGAGTAGGAGGTGACTGGGCAGGATCGGAACTTGCCGATCCTAGGTCGGGAGTAGGAGATACCTCAAGAGGAACCCCCAAACCATGGGCTAGAGAGGCTGATTTCTGAAAGGCAGACTGTGAGCTGTGAGTACTGGGGGAAGGGCCAAGGACAAGAGGCCCGGATGCAGGATAGGAACAGGGATGAAAGATGAGAAAAGCGTGGAAGGAGGGAGGGAGGCGGAGAGCGGCGTCAGCAAAATCCGAGTGAAGGAGAGTCGGAGAGGGTGATCGCTCAGGTTTTAATCAGCCTGAGTCCTACACCCTGGGAAGCCCAGGGAATGAGGCGGCAGCGGCGGGGGTCAGAGATGCAGGCCCAGGCCCCGACTGGCAAGCGGGGGTGGCCTGGGGGTGGTCCTGGGAGGCCTGCCCAGCTGGGAAGGCCTGGAAGATGAGGCTGTGGCCACCAAAGCCCTGAGCCCCTAAGGACCCTGGAGCTTGCAGGGCCCAGTCCCTGGGAAAGCTGCAGCCCTGCCTCGCGGCCCCAGGCGAACTGGGCAAAGGGCTGTGTGCACAGCGCATCTCCAACCTCCCTGGCACCGGCTCCGGGACGCAGCTCTGCCAGGGCTTGGGCCGGCAGGCAAGAACCACGCATTCTGCTCTGGCGGTGCTATGTGGGGAGACAGGGCCCAGGTCCCCATCTGAGAGAATGAGAAAGTTCATCTGGAAATAAGGTTCGGTTTAAAAATATTATATACATGGCTTCTGGACATCTTTGCTCAGCAATAAAATACCATCCGGTTTCTACAAAATAAAATAAGGAAAAAAGCCAAACACGACCGGAGGAGATGCCTCGTGGCCCTGTGGTGGAAGCAGCCTGACTAGCACAGGCTTGCCCGAGTCTAGCTGGGCAGCGCACCCTTATGAGCACGCTGCAACCAGGCCGTGCGGCAGGGACGGGTGAGGACCAGGCCATCCCCACCATGGGGACAGTACGGGTCCAGAGTCAGACCTTTAGCCGGAACCTGTGGCAGCAGCGGGGAGGAGGGGTCTGCGCATGCCTGCGCACTGGCTTGGCGGCCAGAGGGCCTGGCCCCATGGCCCCAGCTGGGAGAGCGAGGCCCCAGCGCCGGCAGGAAGGTGGGGCAAGGGGCCCGTGCACGGGGTCCACCGGGCTGTGGGTGTGGTGGCTGTGTAGTCATCCTCACACTTGTCCTTTTATTGAGGGAGTCTTTCTTTTGCAGCTGTTACGCCGGAAGTCACCGGGGAACACCTGGGCTCCCCTCGGCCCCTCCAGGGCCCAGCCCAGGCTAGTGCAGTGGACTGTCGAACACCACATCAGGGAGGATAGAGACTTTGAGCTTCTTTTCAGGCCAGCTGTACTCTTTGGGAAGTTTGAACTGTGGGGGAGCAAGCACAGACCCAGCACACACATGGTTAGCAGACTCACTGCCTTTGTCCCAGAAACTGCAGAAAGGCAGGCACTTGTCCAGGCCTCGTCCCTGAGGTCTGGGGCAAGACAGGCCATTGGAGGCCTGGCTTCCCTCCGCAGGGCCCAGGTGGGTGGCCGGGCTCCGGTCACAGGGGTCCCCTTGCTGCCGCCTTCCCCCTGCCTTGCTAATCGCTAACTGGCCAGGACGTGTGTTTTCAGTTTTTTTCTCCACTGTGCTGACCTCCCTCCTGCTCACTTCCTTGGTTCTGCCTCTGGCCACAAGCACGTAAGGAATCTGCTCCCTGAGGCCCTGGGCTGGAGGATGGGGGGCCGGGTAGGGTGCAGATGCTACAGGGAAGTGGCTTGAGGTGTGTCACTGCCATGGCCTCGCTTTCTCATGGCCTCTCTTTCTAAGGCTGACGTGGGAAAGGCCCAAGAACCTGTCCTCTGTGTCTTTTGCTGAAAGTCAGCCTCAAAGTCAGACTGCACTATGCCCTTGATAGCAGCAGAGGAGGCCGAGGGCGGCTTGGGAGCGGTGAAGGCTCTGAAAGAGCAAGTCCTCACGCGGCTCCTGGGAGCGCAGCAGAGAGCCTCGTGGTGGCCGGGACAGGCCAGGGCCTTCCACCCCAGGAAGCGCTAACCAGCTCAGTTTGGTTTCTCCCACTCACGGGGGTTTCTGGGGAAGGGCGAGGAGAGCTGACATTCGCTCCCTAGGGATTCTAAGGCTTGCAGTTAGTGTGGGGACTGGCTGGTCCCCAAGTGCTTGTGGATGTGGACTGAGGCTGGAGCTTGGAAACTAGGTCTCTTCTATTTTATTTTACTTATTTTTTCCAGGACTGGGGAGCACACTCAAGGCCCGGTGCACCCTAGGCCAGTGCTCTGTCACTAAGTGGCACCCCGGCCCAGGCCTGTCTTTGGCTTGGCTCTAAGGCAGGCCGGGTGGGCAGGTGAGAACAGGGCTCCCGCACTCTGGGGGCTGGGCCGGAGGTCTGACGCTCCCCGACACTTCCTGGCTGGCTCTCGCCACCTCCCTCTGATGGGCTCTCCACGCCAGGACACAGTGGAGAGTGGGGCGGGTGTGGGGATAGCCTCTGGACAGGACAGCGGAGCAAAAAAATAGAAGTCGTTTTTAGTGACCTACTTTCCTGAGCTCCCACTGGCTCCTGGCCCTCTCGCCTGGCCTGTCTCCCTGCCACCCCCTCAACACCCAAGCTCAAAGCAGCAGCCTGGTGCAGTGCCTCCCCAGTGTGACGAGGACTCTCCAGAAGCACTTCGGGGCAGCTGGCTCTGGTCGGAGTGAATGGGGACCCGGGCTTCACCGACTGGGGACTTGTGGGGGCTGGTGGGCCAGCATGGAGGAGACACTGGATGATTTTGAAATGTGCAGTGAGTCAGGTCATCAGGCTGTACCCCAGAAGACTGAGGGTACACTGGACCACTGGGGTGACTGGCTCGGAGGGGCTCCTGGCCCAGCACAGTCCACCCCAAGCACTCTCTGTAGCCTCAACGTTGGGGGCCTCCGTGTCCTGCCTGAAGGAGCCCTGGGAGCCCTGGGTGGCGAAGGAGCTCTCCCTGAGGCATACTTCCTGGCAGACAGGGCACGGCAAAGGTCTGCCTCTGCCTCAGGAGAGAGGCCAGAGAGCTCTCCAGAGGCCTGGGCAGCTTGCTAATGTTCCACTAACCCATCAGGCATGGAGGCCAGGAAGGCTCGGATCCCACTGGTGTTCTGGTTAGGAGGCGGCGGGGAGGGAAGGGACTTTCCGGGATGAGGTAAGTCCCCACAGACGAGGGTGCTGGGAACAAGGAAGAAAAACAAAAGGGATTATGGGCTCCATCCCTGTGCCCGAGACAAGCAGCCACGGGAAGGCCCTGCCAGCTCTTCAGGCCCCAAACTCGCCAGAAAGAGGCGACTAAGGGGAGCCTGTGGCTGGGGAAGGAAGGAAAGGAGAGAGGCTCCTGGGTGGCCCGGGGCCCCCGCTGCCCACCAGAACTCCCCCGTGGAATGTTCTCTGGCAGCAGACATGGGCTTTCTGTTCAGAACCTGCCAGGGAGCAGCAGGGGCTGGGGAGAACTTGTACTGGCCTGAGCGCCCTGGCTGCCTCTTCAATGAGGTTCTCAGGAGCCGGCAAGTCAGACAATTTGCTGGTGTCCGCACAAGGACGGGGGTGGGGCGGGGACAGCTGTGGTCCATGGACACAGAGGAAAAGCGAAGCTGTTTAACACTGCTGGGGGCTTCAGCCTCTCCCCACACCTCAGGCAGCAGCCTGCGACACAGACACGCGTCACAGGCCCGAGCGCCTGAAGACCGGCCCCCCAGGACAGAGAAACCAAACAGGCTTACTTCCTCGGGAGAAGTCAAATCTTCTAAGTCTTCCAACATTTTCTCTACAAACTCTTCAGTCAACAGAATCTAGGAAGAAGGCACAGGGGAGGCCTTTCTTATTTTTTTTGAATGGGTGGTCTCTTTACCAACTGCCAAGTGGTGACTCTTCCTTCTGGCCCTGGAGGAGGCGCGAGCCTGCTGATCAGCCCCAGGGAGGCCTGCTTCCTACCACGCTCCCAGTGCCCTCGCTGCTGCCGCCTGCCACGGCCAGAGCGGGGCAGGGAGGAGGTCAGAGCAGAGCGGAGAGGCCTTGGGGACATCTGGAGGTGGGCAGTGCCAGGGCCAAAAGGAAGATGGAAATCGGCGGGGACAAACACCAAACAAATCTTTCTGCCTGTTCAGGCCTCCTGCCCGAGGCAGGCCAGCAGAAAAGCCAAGGGCAGAGAGGAGCCACTGTCATGTCCTCCTTGCCCTCCCCCCAAACTTGGCAGACAAAAGGAATCTGTCTGACTGTGGAATATAAGCCCTGTCTGGAGTCTGGAAAAGCCCCGGAAGATACATCCCAGAAAGTCTGAGCTGGAGAATGCGGAGATTACGGACCAACCTCTCATTTTACAGATGGTGTGCAGAATCTACTTCTCTCTCCACCACAGAATCCACACTCGCTCGGCCTGGTTCCTCTGCCCTAACCTGCTGACCCAGTCAGCCTCTGTGCGGTTTTTTTTCCTTTTTTTTGAGACAGGTCTATGTAGCCCGGTTTGGCCTTGAGCTTGTGGTCCTCCTACCTCAGCCTCCCAAGGGCTGGGACTCCACACGTACGACACCGTGCCCTCCTGCTACTGAGCTCTTCAAGACTTCCGGGAAGCCTCTCCTCTAGGTTCCTTCCAGTTTCCCACTCTGCTGCTTTCGTCTGACACCTGCCAGCTCACGCTCTGATGTCGCAGGCAGTCTGGACCCACTCTGGCTGGCACGAGCACCACGTGCGGTGCTCTGGGCTGGTGGGAATGGTGCCCGCGGGGCGTCCCCAGCCCTCCTCCAGCACCTCTCTGGTCAGGCTGCGCTCACCCCGCACCCACACCTCCTCGAGCCCTGGTCTAGCTCGTCTTAACATTCGGAACCCTCTCTCCGCCCTCTGTCCTGCTCACACGGCCTCCCCAGCTTCCCCAGGCTGTGGCTCTCCCTGCCTCTCTACCTCTCCGCAGATCCTGGGTCAGTGAGCAGGGCGGCCACACGGAGGGCTCCTCCGAGCGAAACCCTCCTGTGGAAAGGACGGGGACTGAGAACTTGGGGAAACACCCACCCGGCTTCCCAGGGGGCCGGCTGACTCTGATCACGGAAGTCTCCACGCCAGGAGAGGAGCTAAGCGGCAGGGAGAGGGAGGCCAGCGAAGCGAGAGTCACGGGGGACCTCTGGGGGCAGGGTGCCCGGAGGAAGGAAGCTGACAGGGTGGAGGTGACACGTGAGAACACGACCTCAGCTGAGCAGAAAAAACACCATCGCACCCAGGGTTCTTCCAGTGTCCTTACAGACAAGAGAACCGAGGCAGACAGGGCACAGCACACAGCTGTGGGGCTCAGCCCAGGCCACAGTGCAGCCACATCTGGGCTGACTCCGCGTCTTAAGCGCTTCTAATGAGCCTTGAACTCTCAGCTCCAGGACACACACTGTGCCCATCCTGGTGGCTCGTCTCCCAGCGGACGGCCCCTCCCTTGGCTGACAGCACGCATCCTCCATCCTCCAGTCAGGGACAAACAGCTCTGACCACTGGCCCCTGTCTCCTCACCAAAGTTTCTGTTCCGAGAGGTCAGGCCTCAAGTGGAGCCAGGAGCGAGATTTAGCGTCAGAGGACAAAGGCAGCCTAGCAGAGCACCCGCCACCGGTTCCCCTCTGCACCCTTTCTCCAGCCCCCTGCGCGGACAGATCTTCCTGGGCCGCAGCCTCAGCGGGTCACACGCAGCCCTCCAGCGGCCTGTGCCTTGACCCTCTCTCTTGTATCCAAAGGGTAAAGCCCGACCTCCAAGGCCAGAGGCTCTTGATCACTTATCACCAGTCTGCCTGAGTAGCACAAAAGTCACATTTGTATTTCCTGGCATTTCCGGGGCTTGCTGCCATCCCTGCAAAGGCCAGAACAAACACAAGCATAGCTCAAACCCAGCCTGTGACAGTGGCTCCGGCCGGGCCACACTGGGCTCACTCTGAGCCCACAAATAACCTGGAGGGAGTGGCTTTCCGCTGGGGAGTGGTGAGTGAGTCTGGGACGGCAGCTGGTGCTGGGGGAGGGGGTGTGCAGGCCTGCGCCACCCAGTGAGACCACAGGGCGCTGTTCTTCCGCCACAGGAACGGTCATGCCACCAACACTCAGTCCTAAACCCGGTGCTCTGACAGAGGTCTGGAACTGGTGCCGGAGAGGGTGAGCTGGGGAGGCTTTCAGCAGAGCTACACCAAGTGCAGCACCATCTGTGTGGACTTATTTCGTACTCAGCCGGGGGAAGCGATGGCAAGACCCCAAAATGGGGGAAAATTCTAGTCACTCCTCCATTTTCACTTCTGGAGATTTGCTAGTTTCTGCTGGAAACCTCACATTATTTTATTTTTAAAAATTAAAGGGAAAATTATACACGAGATCTGCGTCATACTAAGGATGACCTTCTCTGCAAAGAAATACGACAGACTCATAGCTCCAGGCACCTAATTTAATTTCCTCTGGGGTTAGACCTGGGAGCCTCGGACTGAACAAACAGGCCCTGTTCTTTGTGTATGTCAGAGCTGGAGCTGAGAACGTGAACAGATCTGATCAACAGGACACCGGAGACGAACAGCGACGACGGCGCAGCTCCGACGCAGCTGTGGGAAAACCCGCAGAGGGCCAGGTCCGGGCTCCTCAGGCTCACCGGGTCCCTGTGGAGTGGCCTGGCCCAGCCACAAACAAAGCTGGGAGTGACTATGACAGTGGAGCTGTCATTCCACAGACTCCAGCGGAGGTCCTGCACGGGATGGGACTCTCATCCTCAGTTTGCAGGGCAGTGGGTGCCAAGAGGGAGGGGAGACGGTATGCAGGACTCCAGAATAAGACGTGACAGGTGGCGGCAGACACCTCTGCAAGCCTGCATGCACGGGGCTGGCTTTTCTCTCTCTCCTGATGAGACAGATCCTTGGTACGATACTAGAACTGGCTTCACCCAATGGCCTGGAAAACCAGCAACCCCAACCGCAGCCAGCCACACGTCTCCAGGCCACATGCTCAGTTCAGCCGGACAGGAGCCCCACGTGTCACAGACACACAGCCTCAAGAAGCCAGGCTGGCCAACTGCAAGGGAAGGCAAGCCATGCCCCAAGATGGCTTAAGTGCGGCCAGTAAGGAAAATTTCTAGGTCAGCCTGATGACTGCGTACACTTCAACCACTGCTCGATTAAAACACAGAACGAACAACAAAGACAGTTCCTCTAGACTAGAAACAAGCAACAAAGATGATGATAATAATGACAATGATAACTGCACTCTTGAAGAGCAGGGTATAAAACGCTTAAGTTTGTGCACAAAGAACCCTGGGAGCAAGGAGACCCTCTAGTGAGAGACGCCCTAAGCACAGCTGAGCAGTGCACTCCCGAAGCTGTTGGAAACACGGAGGCGTGAGGAGACGGAAGCCCCTGAGTCAGAGTACCAGGGCAAGGCCCAGGCACCTGCATATTAAAACACGCACCCTAGGCTCTCATGGTGGATGAGCACTGCAAAATGGGCTCAGGGGGAAGGGGAGTTCGGGGACAGGCTTCACCAACAGTTGGTGGCTGCAGCTCCACCACCATCTGACTAGCCGAGCCAGGAGGGGAGACAGGGGCTGCCCCTGCTCACTCCTACCTCTGACCAAGGAGGGGCCTGGAATCCAGGTTAGCAAATTATTCCAACAGCCTCGCACCAGGTGCCTTAGGACAGCGTGGCTGGTTGGTGGTCAGGGAGGATTGTCAACAACTTTTCAATTCTCCAGGCCCCAACAAGTTCCAGAAAGGAACCTGAAAAGGGATCTTTTGTCTGCGCCTGCCCTGGGCAGGCCGGCTGTGCTGCAGGCAGGGGCCTAGCTGCTGCAGAGCTGACGCCAATTCAAATGTCTGTGGTCAATGATATTTCTGAGTGGCTGACAATGCCCACTCCTTCCCCTTGGTATGACAATCCGCACTCTGTCCAGGTCCTTGCGTGCTCTGTGTTGACATGCTGTTCCTGCTTCCCAGCAAGTTGAGCTTTCTCTTCCCTCCCTTTCCTCCTCGCAGGGAAGGAAATGCGCTGTTGACAGCGGCCGGGCCTGCCAAGGTGCCACTGCAGCACCCAGAATGGCAGCAGAGGAGGCAGGCACAAGCAAGCAGCTCCGTCTGTGACCCTTCTCCTCACCCAGGCCAGACAAAAGCCAGGACATAGCCTGCAGGCACCCCCAACCGCACCGGGAGGGGGCAGAGCCATGTGCTTGTGGGCAGCGGGGCCCAGTGGGGCCTCCAACAGGCCGAACTTATTTCCTGTTCCCAGTGGGTGGCCAGAAGCAGGCTCAGACTCCTGCTCTGCTTGCTGCTGGGGACACAGTGGTGAGTTACAGCCCTCCCTTCCCCAGGCACGCTGCTGGACTTTAAATCTTCTAGGCAGAGCCCTGCACAGTGAAGAACCTGGACAGCCCAAGCAGAGGTCTCCAGGGACAGCAGGTGTGGCCAAGTCCACCCGTGGAAGGGGAAACGGCAGCCATCGCGAGGAGCTGCCCACCCCGGAGACGGGCTTCCCCAGAGGGTGGGTGTGGGGGAGGCGGGGGCACAGCTCACTGGGGACTCCTCCAAGCCTGGCTGGGAGCAGCAGATCCCACTTCTAACAGCTGCTGGGCATCTTCTCCTGAGCCTGGGGCCTCCCTTTGGGGGTGCTAGGGGGTGGCTGGGCCTGAGGCAGCTACCTGGGTGAGCTGTTAGACACCACACAGCTGAGAAAGCAGTATAGGGCCCACAAAAATATTCTGCTGTTAGGCGATGTGACCCCTCTGTGACCTCTGGGCCTGGTGGGCTGGGCTCTGCTCACAAGACTGACACCCAGCCACGACAGGCGTCCGCAGTTTGGGGACACGGGTAAGCGGGGCAGAAGAGGGCCTTGGCAGGCTCCAAAGACCCTTTTGCGGTGCTCAGGTTGGCTGACAGACCTTCCAGTCCCAGCAAGGGTGAGCAGCAGGGGTGGGGCAGACGGGAAAGCGGGCAGGGGTAGGGCTGCCCTTGCTCTCGCCTCTGCGGCTCCTCGCAGAGGCACAGCTGTCTGCCCGGCACGCGGGCTCCTGTGCGTCTGCACGCCCGCAGCCCGCCTCTCCCGGCCCGGGTCTCTCAGGACGGAGGAACGGAGGGGACGAGTGCTGGCACAGGAGACGGTGGGTGAAGGGGTCGCTCGGGGCCATTCCTTGAGCTCTGGACAAGGGCTCAGGGTCCCTAGCCCGCCTTTCCGTCTCAGCCTCTCTGCTGTCGCTCTGCCCCCGAGCATGCAGGGTGTCTGTGCCTTGCTTTCCACCAGGAGATAACAGGTCTGGGCTGGGCGCCAGCGCCAGGTGCCAAGGCTGTGAGTGAGGCCTCCCGGGCTGATGCAAGAAAGTCCTCTCTGCCTCTCCCACTTCAGCTGGGACTCCCTGGGCGAGTTCAAGCCGCAGCCAAGAGAACACACGTCTCGGCTTCCCTGCACCCTGGGTCTGCTGCGTTCTGCTCCTTCCTGCTCCTCTGCCCCGAACAGGCTTGAGCACACAGCCCTAGGTAACACCCGCCCTGCAGCACGGGTCAAAGATGCCTTTGTGCTGGGCTCACACCGAGGGGTCTGGGCCCTTCCTGGTGTGGCCGAGCGGGCCCCACCTGTGACTGTAAGTCTGACCCTAGCCTCCAAGAATCCTGCAGACTCCCAGGGTGACAGCCACACCCCAGAAGAGACCTAGAGGCCCTCAAGTCCTTACAAGCCCAGCTTCCCACAAGCTAGGGAGCTGCCTGTGACCACAGAGGCAGACCCTAAAGGGGAGGAGAGCCGGCCTGCAGATGTGGAAACTGCTGACTGCCTGTGGGGGGGTAGGGGGGAGGGGAGGGGGCTGGTGTGGGTGTTGGCTCCAGGGCTGAGACCCTGGTGCCTGGGGGTAGGGGAGGTTTCCAGAGTTCCTTGCAAAGGGCCTGAGAAACCCCTCGGTGATGGAGGGAGCATGCCTGGGATGTGGGGCCTCGGCCAGCCTTCCCGAGCTCTCCTGCGAGCAGGCCCGTGGTGGACCACACTAATGAGCCCGTAACATAGGCCTCTGATTAAGCAGCTCCCAGCACAGCAACTTTATTGAAACACGCTGAGGGCAGTGGCTGTTCCCACTGCTTCCTGGTTCCCTGGGCAACAGCCCGCGGCACCAAGTGCCCTAGCTCAATGAGGCGCTGCCGGGGAGCGAGGTGTTGGGAATACCAGGAGCCAGAGGGCCAGGAGATTGGGATTTTCTATGGGGTTCAGAAGCTCCCTTCCAGAGGAGTGAGGGGCCACATGACACTGGCTGAGTCCTCCAGGGCCTACAGTTCTGGGGCGCCTGAAAACCCATGACGCCGATCACCCCACCGCTCAGGCCAGGGAAACATTCCCGGGGTTTGGCAGGGCTCTAAGGGCAAGTTCAGAGTTGAAGATACGACATAAAACTGGATGGACTTCACCCCCAAAGCATGGGAACCTTCAGTACACGCACGGGCGGGGGCACTTGTGCTCAGAGCGTGTGCATGCCGTCATTTCCTCGAATGGCAGCCTGCGGACTCAGGAGTCGGGGCCTCTTGCGGTCTTCCCCAGCAGCTCCGCCAGGGAAGAGCCAGCCCCACCCCCATGTTCTTGGCAGAGGTGGCAGGCCGGGGCATAGCCGGGCTTAGGAGGAAGGGGACTTCCACTTGTGCTGTGCTAATTGCAGTGTTACATTTTAGAGCTTTTGCTACAGTAACAACCAATACCACGTGGACAGAAATCTAATGTTACCAAGTGGGACTTTTAAAATGTATTTATAACTTTATAGTTCAAAGTAATTTTGTTATGAAACAATGTAATAACAACAGTGGAAAAAGGCAAGATAATTTATGGAACACAATATCCCTAAAGCACTAGCTTCCATTTCTACCTCAGCTGAGTCTGGGGAGTGTGGTTGGTGTTCTTTGTTTGCTGTTTGTTTTAATTAAGGGTTAGAATTTTGGTGGGAGGGAGGGGGAGGCTGCCTTGAAGGAGAAAGAATTCTGCAAGCAGACTTACGCTGACAAACATGTCCACGTCAGGAGTACAAATGCTTGGCCAGGTGTGGTGGCGCATACCTGTAATCCCAGCACTCGGGAGGCTGAGGCAGGATTGCCACGAGTTCAAGACCAGCCTGAACTACACAGTGAGACCTTGTCGCAAAACAAAACAAAAAGACTATATATGCTTTGCAGACTCCCAGACTGGGTCAAACCCCCGGAACCACTATGACCCCCTCAACACACTATAATTCTCCTATGTTCTTGTCAACACAGCACAAAGCTGGGTCATCTTTTGGACAAGGTTAGGTTTCCTTCCTTCTGTTGGTCCTCCCTCCCTTTTTCTTTCTCTTTTCTTCCTTCCTTTCTTCCTTCCACCTTCCTTTTTTTCTGTCTACCCCCTTGCTGAAGAGTCCCTCCCTCCCTGCCTTCTCTTTCCTTCCTTTCTCTTTCTTTGTCTGTCTCTGCCCCGCCCCCTCTCCCTGGGGACTAGACTGGAGCCTTGTGCGTGCTAGGCAAGTGTTCTCCTACCGAGCTGCACCACTGGCCCTCAATTCCCTCTCCAGACACCTGAGAGAGGTAAGGTAAAGTGTTCTTCCCCTCGCTCCAAAAGCCCACAAGGAGAGTCGATGCGGGCGGAGCACTCCTTAGGGACCTGGACGGCGGCGGGGTGGGGGTGGGGGGAGGTGTTGGAAGGAGGTCAAGTGCGTTAGCCCCAGCACTGGGTTTGGCTTTGGCTCTGGAGCTGAGCTGCCTGGGACCAGCTGGCAGGCTTCTGCTCAGACAGGTGGGGCTTCCGCCAGGGGGAACAGCAGAGCTGGTGGACCGGGGTGTGTGGGGGCACCTCTGCCCACTGCACCCAACCTACCCATCTCAGCCCCAGGAAGACGCTGCCTTCGAAGCCTTCTGGTAAGATTTCCAGACAGCTGCTACAGTGGCTTCCACAGCACCTCTGTCTTGGTTTCCTGTACTTTAGTTTAGTTAGGACATGGAAAGCCCTATTTCCCCACGCCTGCATTTCCACAGGAACCAGAACCACCACTGGCAAGGAAAGGGGTCCCTGTGTCTCAGGTGAGAGGAGGGGGCCGGGAAGTACCCCTGGAACCACTGGCACAGGCAGCAGCGTCCAACTCCATGAGCCCACACAGGCCTCAGGCCCTGAGCCCAGCCCCCCGGGGCAGGGGCACCACCAGGAGCTGCGCAGGGAGGGGCGGGGGGGCAGGGGAGAGCCTGCGGAGAGAAGGGAGGGAGGAGAAAAGGGGCCTCTCACTTGTAACCAGGGTCCATGAGCCGCGTAAGGATGCTCCTCTGTGGCAAAAGCACCTTCCACTCCCGTGGAGACAAACGTGATGGCCATATCACCTGTGATACTTTTATATGTAAAGTGCCGTCCATGCAGGAGCCTGCCCCTGGGGGTAGGAACACGGAGACAGTGAGGAACTGGGCCTGTGAACACCCCAAAGTGCGGCAGGCCTTGCCGCACTTCTGGGACGACAGAGCTATGTTCCCAGAGGCAGGGGGCCTTGCAGCTGCCTTCCTATGGTCCACCTGCCCACTAATAGGCTACAGATAAATATGCTCACTGTAGCATCTGCAAAAAGAAGCCTCCAGCCGGGCATGGTGGCACACATCTGCGATCCCTGCATTCTGGAGGCAGAGGCAGGAGGATCACAAGTATGAGCCCAGCCCGGGCAACTCTGCTTAGACCCAGAGACCTGTCTCAAAATAAGTATTTAAGACCCAGGCGTGGTGGTGCACACCTGTAATCCCAGCACTTGGGAGGCTGAGGTAGGAATATCCTGTAAGTTCAAGACCAGCCTGAGCTGCATAGCAAGACCTTATCTCAAAAAAACAAACCACAAAAAAATCTTAAAAAGGGGTGGGGTTGTAGCTTGATTTGAAGATGCTGTGTTAAATCTCCAGTACTGGGGAAAAAAACAAGCAAGTAAGCACCAGCGGCTCTGTCACTAGCTCCTTGATGCCAGCCTTTCGAGGTGCTCAGAGCTGGCGGAGACCACTCTAGAGCAGAGTTCACAGAGCCTCAGGCGGGTGGAGGCCCCGCACCTACAGCTGAGAGGGGAGAACCCGAGGCCAGAGGGAGAAGCCAGCGACGTGCCCAGGGCCATGCCGAGTGGAGAGGAAGTCGCCGCCCCCTCTGGGGCCGGAGGTGGAGTGGTACCCACACAAATGACAGTGTGGTGCCTTCCCAGCAGGACACTTCACAAGGTCCAGGGCAGAATCTTTCATCTGCTCCTGGGTGCTCCTGTAATGTTTAAATAGCTAGCCTGAAGGCCACAAGCACAGTTTTGAGGAAGAAGCTGACGCCAAGTTGGGGTCACTCTGAGGGAGCAGCAAAAAGTCACTCTTAAATCCGTGGTCTGGAAATCCACCTGCGGGGAGCGCAGCCGGGCGCCAGTGAGCAAGAGCAGCCAGCAAAGCCTGCTTCTTCGGGTCACCTCGCGCGCGCGAGCCCTTCACGGTCCTCAAGGCCCTGAGCCTGCACCCAGTGCAGCTGGGAGGAAATGGACGGACCCTGGTGCCAGGCTCTGCCAGATCCTGCTTACTCCGACCCGACCACTGGCTGCCTTTGCCCTGTGCTGCCCAGGGCGGCTGGCCAAGTCTGGGTACCTTCCAAATGCTGTCCCCAGACTCCAGGGACAACGGGCACAGTGAACCGTACAACCACTTCTTCCTTGTCACTGTCCCGAGTTTAGAGTAATTCTCTCCCTTTTCTCTCCTTCCTTTCTTTCTCTCTCTTCTTTTTTCTTTTCATTCTTTTGTTCTGGAGTTTTGCTTTGATCTGAGACAGGGCCTTGACATATAGTCCAGACCAGCCTTGAACTCACCATGTAGCCCAGGCTGGCCTCAAATGCCTGGTGATCCTCCTGCCTCAGCCTCCTGGATGCTGAAATTATAGGTGTGCACTGCCATGCCTAGCACTTCTTTGAGACAGGAGCTTGCAATATAGTTTAGGCCAGCCCTGAACTTGGTATGTAGTCCAGAATGGTCTTGAACTCACGGTTTTCCTGCCTCAGTCTTGAGCGCTCGGATTACAGGTGTGCACCACCAAGCCCAGCTTTAGAGGGATTTGTACTGTTTCCTCTGCTAGAAATATAAGGGTGGGAGCCTAGAAATCCATGCAGTGCCATTCCAGGAGTCAGCCCAAAGCAGCACCCTCAAGCAGACAGCTCACTTCCAGCCTCAGGGCTGCGTGTTGGACTTTGAACAGCAGCAGAGGGACACAGCTGGGCTTCCTGGTCCCTCAAGGAGTCAGCCGCACTGGCTGCTATGTGTGAAGACTTAAGCATTTTCAGGGAAGAGAGGCAAGCAGGAGAAAGTGGAGCCCAGCCCCTGGAACCCACTTCCTGACAGCCCAGTTCTACTGGCGGCCGAGTGTATGGGATGCAGGGTCATCTGAGGGCCTCTGCTTACTGACCTCCCCAAGGTGAGCGGGGCTGACGGGCAGCTCCTGAGCGAAGAGGCGCTCCTCAGCACCTGCTCCCTGTGGCCTCTGAGACTCCCGAACTAGCCAGACTGGAGACTGATGGCACTCTCGGCCACAGCCCTTTGCCCACGGGAGCTGCCCCTGCCCTGAGCTCAGAGATGTAGCTGAGAATCCCTCTTAGAGACCACTTCATGCTCCAGGGCCCACCGGCCACCCCCGCTGGACCCTGCACCCCACCTTGGTACCCAGAGCTCGGCGGGAGGAGTGCGCAGCCAGTGAGGGCTGGAGCCGGCATTCGGCGCAGACCCATGGTGCAGAGGCTCCCACGCAGGCCCACGTGTTCTCCTCCCTGCCAGCCCCAGACCTGCTCAGGTACGTGGGCTGCGCGGGTGCCTCCCTCCCCGAGGGATGGGCAAGCACGGGCCTGGTGGCTGCTGGAGGAGGGGGCAGGGCTCTGAGTGGTCCCTGCGGCCTAGCTGCACGGGGCGGTCTCGGCTCACCTCAGGCAGAGAGGGATGAGGGCTCCGGACTCCTGGTTGAATTTCAAATGTACGCTCTCGAGTTGCCGCGTACGGATCAGCTCGTGGGGAATCATGGCCGTGGAGCTCTCGCTTTCTAGGCTGTCTTTGCGGCTCCTGCAAAGCAAGCACCGGGGCAGGTTCAGCGTGTGGGAAGAGCACTTGCAGGAGCGGGGTGGGCGCTCCAGGTGGGTCCCCGGTCACCAGCGGCCGTGGGGCCCAGTCACGATTACGGCGGCCGGCCTTCAGCGCACCGGTCACAGGCCGGTCGTGCACCGCGCACACTGGCTGGCGGCTCCTCAGCACGCTCCCTGGAGTGCGCACTGTCACCATGCTCCTTTTATAGACAAGGAACTGGGACCGGAGCCACGCTCCTCACCAGGCCCCACAGCCGGTGCGGGCCGCAGCCGGGTCCAGAGCCTCCACTGTGGCAAACAGCACCCAACATCACAGTCTGTGCCACAGTGGCTTCTGCCCCCCGGAGACCAGCAGACCTCCTGGGAGCCCTCGCTCCCTGTTCCCTGCGGCCCAGACTCCAGCCCTCCAAGGCTGGCCTGAGAGGGCACCCGAGATCCAGCTCCAAAGGCTTCTGTCCGGCCGACCTGAAAAGGCTCTGTGCGTGTCCGCTCCTGCTCACAGCCAGTGTGCAGTGACACAGCAGCCTTCACCCAAACGACGCACGCTCGGGCGGAGAGGGCGGCCTGGGGCGCCAGAGCAGTGGGCCTGCTGGGAGCTCTGCACTGGCTCCTCCCGTGACCTTGGCCAGGGTGAGCTGCCACCGTGCTTCACACTCCCTCCTGCCTGTCCCCCACTACAGCTTGTCCTACAGCTGGGTCACAGGGGCCCTCTGCATGCTAAGATTCGCTCTTTCAAATTCAGATGCCCCGAATGACAACCTCTCAAATCCGCCTTGGCAGGAAATGAGGGTCACCCACTGATCCCACTCAAAAGGCCGGATTCCGGTTTGGGCTGTGAATCTCCGGACAATTCCCCAAGTGTCCATCAAAATACCGGGTGAGAAGCTCTCGTTATTTGTCATTCGAGTGGCAGGCAGGCGCCACCCAGGATGTCTGGGCTGCCCAGCCCCGGAGGGGCAGGACCAAGCTCCTCACGCGCTGGGGCATGATGATGGGGCTGCAGCCAGCGGGGTGCAGCGCAGGCAGAGCACCTGCCCGGCGAGGGGGCGTGGGCAGCGCGGGACAGCAAGACCTCAAGGTGAAGGGGCCAGTTACGCTCTGCTCAGCAACTTCTCCCTTGTGAGGCTCTACCCAGAGCTGATTGTTCTTTCACAAAAGCAGTCCCTTCCTCTGGCTGCCCAAAGCTGACTTGGGAACTGTTTACCCCTGGCTTTCCCTTGGCACGTCTTCCCAAGACCTGTGAACAAGATAAACATTATGGCCAAGAGGGCCACAGTTTGTGAGAACTGGAAGGAAATGCAGAGGTCATTTCATTCACCTCTTCCTTTTCGAAAAAGGGACAGCAAAGAACCCACGGCCACAGAGCTGGCCTGCAGCTGGCCAGCATGGGAACCTTGGACTTGTGACCAACTCTTTCCTCCACCAAGGCTGCTGTTCCTCAGGGCAACGCTGAGCCCCACTTCTCAGCCAGGCACTACTGAAGGGCTCAGAGGCGGCGCAGGGTCCCTTGGGGCCCACACAAAGGCAGAACACAGGAAGTAACGGCAGCCTGCACTCACTGAGAGCTCCCTCTGCGCCAGGCCCTGCGGGTACCACACTGCGCCCTCACCGGAGGCCTGACGGAGGTGCTCACAGAGGAGGGGAGGTGACGAGTCTAAGGTCAAAGAACCTTACAGTCTAAGGTCAAAGTTACTTTTTTTTAACTTTTACTTTTTAGGTGCTGGGAATGCAGGGCCTCACACATGCTAGGCAAACCCTTTGCCCCTGAGCTACACCCCTCGGCTCTCACCTGGAGTTGAAGGGGAAAAGCTCGCACAGCCACTCCTCTGTGCCATCCCCCAACGGGTGCTTACACCAGGGTCCCCCCATGCTCCCCAGAGGGCTGCGGCCGGGCCGGGGCGGTGGGGCTGCCAGGGTCCCAGCCTCTCAGACACAGGCGAAAGCGCTGACGAGGAGCAGTGGGAGGTGGGGTGGGGGCGGGTGGAGAAGAATCAACAGCCCACAGCCCAGAGGCTCCTGGGCTGGAGGGAAAAATAAATTGTTGAAAGTCAGCTAAAGTCACCTTGGTAACTGCCACAACACACTCACCCAGAAGGAGGACATCAAACCCAACTGCAAACAGCTTTAAAGAAATGGAAAAGGACTTAATCATCTGAAGAATTAATGTGACAAGTGCCCACATTTACACCTCCCACCAACCTTCAATCATTTGAAAAATGTACTTTAATCTTTTAAGAGAAGAAAAATTGCAAAATGCTAGATCTGCAGTACTGAAGCTGGGTATTTCCGGCATGCTGCTTCAATGGAAACGTGGCTGCTCACACACACACAGGAGCCCGGCTTTTTGCTGATTTGTTTTTTTCTGGACATCGATGCAGAAACATGAATTATTTGTGTGGGTTGGGTGAGGTATTAAAGCTGCAGCCGACACAGGTTTGCAATGTTTTGCATGGTTGTCAGCTTAATCTTAGTCATACAAAAATAAGTAGTGTGCTCAGCAGCATGGCCTCATTTTTTCAGTTGGGCTGTTTTCTCTGAGTTCCCCATAGAGAAGGCAGAGGTTTGGGGGCCAGCAGGGAGGGGCTCCTGGGACAGCGGGACTCAATCTACTGGGGACTGTCAGGGGCATGCTCCAGGAGGCAAAGTGCCGAACCTGACGGGTTTGCATTCACGTGACCTTGGGCAAATGATTTAACCTCTAAGCCTCGGTATCTTCTTAACGGGAATAAGTAACAGTAAGGTCACTACACCAAAGCAGTAAGTGCTCAAAATATAGCTGCTACTAGTCTCTCTGCTCTGCCTGTAAGAATATCCATGGCTTAATTGAAAATTGCTTCTTGTTTCCTGGGCCTGGAACCCAACTGTCTCTGACCAGGTCAGTTCCCCTGCTGAGCAAAGGTCCTGCCTGCAGCGCGAGGTGTGGGGGCCCCTGACACATGCTGAGACACTGCGGGTCTTGGTCAAGCAGGGGTGAGAGGGGACCAGGCCGACAAACCCGACGCCTTTGCTGTGCCGCGGGAGGCGGCTCCACTCTACAGGGCGCAACCTGCCCCTCTGCGATTCCCAGCACTGGCCTTCACCTTCCTACGACCCTCTTCCGAATCTCGAAGGCTACTTTCACACCCTGCCGACAGCTTCTTTCTCTATGACTGGTGGCCCCAGCTTTCAACTGTGCTCTTGACCAGGTCCTCAAATACGTCTATCCAAGCCTCCATTCCTTGGACTCACTGTAGCTTGTCAAACTAGAGCGTCGTGTCCAGAAATGAAGTGCTGTGTGTGGAAATGGGTGCAGTATGCGGTTTAGCCAGGCCAGATCACGGGGGCTGTACGACCCTTCTTGTGTGGGACACTTTGTTTCTGTTGCAGCTGTCATCGAATTGTCTATTCTTTGTAACCTCATCAAACTACCAACTCATACTGTACTCCGTCAACAAAATCTCCCTCCAGCTTTCTCCCCTGGGCTGCCCTTACCCTCTTGCTCCCCATCTAGTACCTGCTGCTGCTATTTGATGCCAAGAGCGGAACTCCGCTGGCTGGCAGGGTTTCAGGCAGTGTGATAACTGTGAACGGACTCTGGCCTCTATCACACGGGCATTCCTTCCTGACTTTGCATCACTGACTAAACTGATGATCTCGCCACCAATGTGCTCATCCTGGGCTGACTAAACAGCAAACAGGCTAGCCCTGGGCAGACAGACCACGCCGTCTGAGGAGGCCATTCGTGCAAGTGCAGGTCACCCCACCACCTCCACCCTCGCGCTCCTGGTGCTCTCTGCACATCTCTGTCTTGCCTACAACGCTGTCAGAACATTCTCAAAATGTCACGCTAAACCTCGCCAGCCTGAGGTCTCTGGCACTCCTCTGTCTACCAGGCAGGGGAACACAGTTCAGGCCTGACTTTCTTTCTTTTTTTTTTTTTTTGAGACAGGGTCTCACTGTGGAGTTGAGACTGGCCTTGAGCTCACTTTGTATCTGAGGCTTCTCTCGAACTCGCAATGATCCTCCTGCCTCAGCCTCCTGAGTGCTGGGATTACAGGGGTGCGCCACCACACCAGGTCTAGGCCTGACTTTCTGACTCTCAGGGCTTACTGTTTTCCCTTACAGTATTCAAAACCTCGCCAAGGATAAGCCAGCCTACGATTCTCCTGAGAGCAACAGCACACTCACTAGTCTGGAGCTGCAAGGCGCTCTTGGTACCTTCGAACGTCTGAGTGCTTCCAGCCTGTCCACAGCACAGTGGCAGAGCGCTTGCCTAGCAGCCGAAGCCCTGGGTTCAATCTCCGTACAGGAAGGAAGGGAGGAGGGAGGGAGGAAGGGAGCGGCTAGGGCAGGGAGGGAGGGAAAGAGAACGCTGACCGCAGCCTCTGTCTCTCACCTGCCAGTTCTGGCGTTCTCGGCACGACGCACCGTGCACGTGAACTGGGAGCTCTGAAAGCACAGCCTCTGCTCTCACTGTCACCTGTGTGACCTTTCCTAGACTGATAACCATTTGTTTTGAGATGAAGCATAACACATTCCACTAGCTTTGTTTTCTGTCACTGAATAGTATTACTCTGTACAAACAGCAAGGCCTTCTTGCTCCGAAGGGAAGTATACGCATAAAGTGGTTTCTTGCTGATCACAGTGCTTTTTAGCAAGACTCATTTTTTGGGGGGTGGTTTGTGAGGGTCTTGCTAAATTGCTAAATTGAGCTAAGCATGGTGGTGCAGGTCTGTAATCCCAGCACTCAGGAGGCTGATGCAGGAAGATCGCTGAGAGCTTGAGGCCAACCTGAACTGCATAGTGAGACCCTGTCTCCAAAAAAAAAAAGATTATTTAAAAAACAAATAAATTGCTAAATTGCCAAGGCTAGGCTCAAACTTGTGATTTGCCTTAGCCTCTCAGAGTGCTGGGATCACAGGTATATGCCACTACGCCTGGCTAAGACTCAGTTTTTGCTGGGTGTGGTGACACAACCCTGTATCCTCAGCCTTTGGGAGGCAGGAAAGTTGCTGTAAGTTCAAGGGCAGCCTGGGATGCTTGAGGCCAGCCGGAACTACATAGCAAGACCCTGCCTCAAAAAACAAAAATCAAAAACCAAAAACCAAAACCCCCCCTCAAAAAAAAAAAAAAAAAACCAACAAAAAACCAGACTCAGTTTTTTTTTTTTTTCCTTTTTTCTTTTTGAGACAAGGTCTCACTATGCAGTTCAGGCTGGCCTTGAGCTCACTTTGTAGCTCAGGCTGGCCTCAAACTCACAACAATCCTTCTGCCTCAGCCTCCCAAGTGCTGGGATTACAGGCCCGCGCCACCACACCCAGCCCCAGACTCAGTTCTTGAATTACAACTTTTCTTTTATTTTGGTTTTTGATACAAAGTCTGTCTATATAGCCAGACTGGCCTTGCTTGGGCCCGCTATGTAGTTCAGGCTGACCTTGAACTAGCGGAAATCTTCCTGCCTCAGCCTCCCAACTGCTGGGATTACAGGTGTGTGCCACCACGCCCAGCTGAGCTGGAGCTTTTCTTGACCCTGTTCTTTTCTGTTTTTGTTTGTTTTTCTTCCGGTACCAGGAATCGAACTCACGACCTTGCACTTGCCAGGCAGGTGCTTTGCCACTGAGCTAAATCCCCAGCCCCAACCCTATTCTTTTCATTTGTGCTAGTATAACATACTTCTCCTTCTAGCTATTGTACTGTATTCTTCCAAAAACCTGAGTTGTGTGAAGAACTGTCCATCTCCACCCTGGTCCCTGAAGGTAGTGTGCCTTCTTGCAGTTTCAGGAAATCATTTACAGTAACAATATCAAGAAAAGTCTTTTACTAAGCTTAGATGATGCTGCCGGGTCCTATTTTAAGCCCTGTATAAACTTTGCTCCATTTTCATAACACCCTATAAATAGGTATTATTCTCATTTACAGGTGAAGAAACTGAAACTCAGACTTCAATCACTGGCCCAGGTCAGGCAACGAGCTATAACAGCTGAGACAAAACCCAGATCTTTCTGATGCCAGCTAAAATGTCAGCATGTTTCTCCTAACAAATTCCCATTCCTCTTGACTGGTCTCTCCTTCTGGGGTCTCAGGGCCACAAACACACACCTCTTCCCTGAACTCTTCAAAGAACTTCTTTCCTAGAAGGTAGGTCAGGGGTTTTCAGAGTATTCGATGGAATTTTGAGAAGCTTCTAGAAAAAACAGGGATAGTAAGGATTAGATGCAGTTTGCTGCATGTCAGACTAGAGAGTCACAGAATGCCAGCACTTTGAGCCCTGAGGACTACCATGGGAGAACAGCTGTCCAGCCTCAGCTGGAGGACCCCCTTCTCCCGACGTCTCCTGAAGCCCGAGTGTGGCGGGACCGGCGGCCAGGCGTGCTCCGATGGCCCTACGTTTCCCCCTTGCTCGCCATGGCGCAGGCTGCCTTCTTCCGAGGGTGTCACTTGTCCCTTGCCCAGCTCTCTGACGGTCAAAATCAGGCCCGCGGCTGAGACCCTCTCCCTGCTCTTCCGCCCAAGATGGGCACTGCCCGCGGCGCTGGTCAGAGGCTCTGCCGCGCACTCCGCCCAAGCTCGGTTCTGGGAGGGTGAGGTTTCCAGGGCTTGGTCTGAGGCCAGTGTCCTTTCCACACACAGCACGCTGTCTTCTCACCGGCGTATGTGCTGCCGAGGCGAAGGGAGCACTGTCTCTTTTCACTGGGCACGGCAAGCTACAACAGCTCGCATGATGTCATTTCTTTGATTTTCTTTTTTTGGTACCAGGAGTCGAACTCAGGACCTTGCCCTTGTC